GGTTAAAAAAAAAAAAAAAAAAAAAAAAAGGCTTAAAAGAATCATTTGTACTCTGGCTGACACTGTCAATCAAATCATTCTGAGAGCTATAAATATTTTTGTAAATGTTCACCCCATCATTGTCGAATTAATTCTAAAAGAGTTTTTTCAGTGAGGATGAACAGAGAGAATATGGTAACTACAGACTGAATTACACAAACCCTTGTCTCAGGGACCCTGGTTCTGAGAATCCCTGAAACCAGGAATTTAAATTAAGTGTGATTTCCCACAAATAACTGTCTTCTTAATAAAAATTACTGAAAGTCGAGCATAGCTAGGTTGTCACAACAAAAGTAAAAAACAAAATTAAAGAACTCTGGATGGGACAAACGGGTCTGAGCCTTTATCCTGTAGCCGTTACAGGCACCAAACCATCAAATAAAATGATTTTCAGGTTCATGCAACCAATTTGCTGTGAAGCAGAGATGAGCACCTTGGGGCCACATGCTTCTGGCACTGTTAGGCAGAAGTCTGGTAGGGACAGTAAGGCTATCTCTGGGGTATGTTAGGTTTCAAAGAGGTCTGTCCCAAGCAAACAATTTAATTTCAAATTGTTTTCTCGTTTACATTTAGATCTTCCACCTCCTGCAACCCGAGAACGACCACCAGGATGCAAAACAGTGTTTGTGGGTGGCCTGCCTGAAAATGGGACAGAGCAGATCATCGTGGAAGTGTTTGAACAGTGTGGAGAGATCATTGCTATTCGGAAGAGCAAAAAGAACTTTTGTCACATTCGCTTTGCCGAGGAGTACATGGTGGACAAAGCTCTTTATCTTTCCGGTAGGTGTTTAGTCATGAGGATTGTGCCTCTCAGGCACAATGCAGATTGGGGATCAATGTATTTGCATCTTTGGGACTAATAGTACCCCTCTTGCCTTCAGAGAAACAAAATGCATGTTACCATACAACTTCTTCCTTTAAAGTTATTTAGTAATTCCCAGTTTTCTATGGGATAGCTCCAGACTACTTATTGTAGCATCTAAAAGCCTTGATTACCTGTTTTACCTCTCAGAATTATCTCCCAGTCCCCTCACACACACATCCCAACAACACTAAATTAAATTCTAGTTCCAAGAATGTGCCATGGTGTTTTATGCCTTTTCCTCTGACTAGAAGTACCTTTTCCATCCCCCACTCACAGCACATACAGCTTCACACCCTAAAGCTCCAGCTCAAGCATAACCTCTCCTGGAAAGCTTTCTCTGACCTCTCCCCACTCTGCCGCAGGCTGGCTTGGGCACCCCTTCCTCGGTGATTCCACAGCACCCACTGCTTTCTCCTAGCATGACACCTATAACACCATGCTAGAACTGCCTCTTTCTACATCTGTGTCCCCTGCCAGAGCGTGAACTCCTTAGGGGAAGGGATTGTGTCTTATTTAACTTTGAATCCGGAGCATCTAGCACGTGACCTAGAACAAAAGTAGGTACTCAGAATTACCTATGGAAGTCAGTTAGTTAATGAATATTTGTTAACTGCTAGGCAGAATACTGGGTTGCTGAGATACAGTAAAGACCAAGGCAGCA